CCAAGTTTAGTTGCTCACCAGAGTGCTTGCCCTGCAGCAACTCAGAATAGTTCCTTAAAAGTTGCACCATGGAATTTCAGTTTGAAATTCGCCCAAATATGTATTACATAGAACTCGAGCTCAACTTTGGGGGCCACAACTTCAAATGCTTCTAGCAGACCCTACAAACAAGCCATAAACAAACAAGTTAGTGTCATAAAATTTGAAAATAGAGCAAAGAGATGAGAAGAGATATTATTAACTTACTTTTGGCATGTCAGACATAAAAGTCAACCCAAATCCTTGCTCAAACACACAAAGTGCTTTCAGCAAACTCTCAAGGAACCAGCACCAGTGTAGGGAATATTTCAAGCCATCCCACACTTTAGCCCCATTGTGATCATACACTTAAGCATGGTGGCGTCCAAAGGGAAGGAAGCTAGAGTAAAAGAGTCGCCAACAATTTTTAGGAACTTGTAAACCGTTCACATGGTGAAGGTTACACCCCTTAACGATCCAGGAGATCGTTAACTCCAATAAGTCTGGAACTGTGGTACCTGGTTTTTAGTGGACAAAGATTAGTCTACAAAGGTTCCGCTTAAGTGTCTGATAAGACTTATAAACAAAACTTAGAGTCGCCACCTTATTTTTATCCGAATAAGGACGGATTTTAAAACAGTCAATTTTAAGAAATAAAACTAAAAAAAAAAAAAATCAACTGTTAACTCCATAATGATAAATAAGGCACAGGGTTTGGGGTTTAGGTTAAGAGAATTGAACGTCTGGAACTCGTCTTCCCTTCCGTTCTAAGGAACGGGCTCTTACTATTGCGTTGTTAAAAGTCTAGTTTTAAGACATATTAATCACACAAAAAATTATATAATAATTAATATAAGGTAGGTTTGAGCACCAAAGTTGCATTACGTACCGATCATAGTGAGATTTTGAATTCACTCACGGATCATAACCTTCGTAGTTCGGATAGATGCCATGTTTTAAATGACCAATTCCATTGGGTTTTGATCTGGGAAGTTGACATAAACGTCATTTTTATAAGTGGGATTTTGGTGATCTTTAACGAATTCACTCATAAAAGTAAAATGAACCACCTTGGTTGAGGAAAATCACCCCGATTAGTGATTACCAATAATGTCTTTTGAACAAGACAATTCAACAAATGCTTCCCGATTGACGACTTTTAAGCGGGTCAAGGTAGTTTTAAGGGTTATGTGTTTAGACTTAATGGAATTGACCAAATAAAACACAACACCTGTCAAGGCCTTACTTCTAAATAAAAGGGAACAATAAACTATTTAATCATATCAGATTGTCAATTAATCCATCGGGTAATTATAATGGGATAAGCTTATTTTATGGAGATGGATAATTGTTACAACCTTATACAACTAAATAATCAATCTTAACCTCATGTTTGGAAATGAGGCCATAACCTTATATTAACTATCATTAATTATTAGAAATAAGAAAAAACAAAGTTGTGATTCATTCTTGTGTCACAAAAGGGTTTGAAATAAAAAGGTTCACAAAATTATATATAAAAAAGATAATGTTTGTTAAAACTTTTATTTCTGAAGTCATGTTTAAAATAAGATTAAAGTTTCTTAAAATAACGCTTAGAATTAAAGCTTGTTCAAACTCTTATTTCTAAAATCATCTCTAGAATAAAATTAAGACATCTTAATTAAAACTCCATAGTTAAGAAGTATATATAATATAGTTTAATATAGGGTTCATACCACCATTAGTTCCTTAGAAAAAAATTAATACAATTTTAAAAAGCAATTTCATCTCTTTGATAGCTTGAATTAAAAAAATCATTAAAAATCATAGAAAAATCGAAAAAATTATTGTGAGATACGGTTGGAAAGCTCTTGAAAAGTTCTATCACTTGAGATAAGTAAATGGAACTGATTCTGGTCGTAAGGGTTGTTTCACAGGCCATCTTTGGGTCATGGTAAGTAATTCTTTACTCTTGAACAACCTTTGCTTAAACTCTTAATTCCTTAGGTCTTTAAGCTCAGTAGCTCACTTTAAGAAATAAATCATTCTTTAAAAAATACATTAGACAGTCACATGAATGTATTAACCTTTCATATTTAAAATGCATTAGAAAGAGATGCAATGCAAAATGCAATTAACCCCCCTTTTTGTAACTTATCACCTCATCAATAGGCTTGGCTTTCTAATGTGGAGTAATGAAAGATGTAGGGCTAATTTAGCACCTAATATCGTCATTACCCCTATTGGTAACATCACATGAAAACAAACACATTAGTTAGTGTAGGGAATATTTCAAACATTATCCCAAACTTGAACCCCACTGTGATCATACACTAAAGTACGGTGGCGTCTAAAGGGAAGGAAACAAGAGCAAAAGAGTCGCCAACAAATTTTAGGAACATGTAAACCGTTCACAGGGTGAAGGTTACACCCCTTAACGATCTAGG